AAGAAAAAAAAATGTCATGAAGAACCTAGGGGTAAGACAGGAATAAAGACACAGACCGACTAGAGAACGGACTTGAGGATATGGGGAGGGGGAAGGGTGAGCTGTGACAAAGCGAGAGAGAGGCATGGACATATATACACTACCAAACGTAAGGTAGATAGCTAGTGGGAAGCAGCCACATAGCACAGGGATATCAGCTCGGTGCTTTGTGACTGCCTGGAGGGGTGGGATAGGGAGGGTGGGAGGGAGGGAGACACAAGAGGGAAGAGATACGGGAACATATGTATATGTATAACTGATTCACTTTGCTATAAAGCAGAAACTAACACACCATTGTAAAGCAATTATACTCCAATAAAGATGTAAAAAAAAAATTACATACTGAAAGCTTCTGGAGGCTTTATAATAATCTGCTTAGGAGGAAGTAATACATTTTATTAAACCTAGAAGTGATGTGAATATGATTCTTGAATTCAGTACCCTTATTAATTTTGAAAAACAAACATTTTACAAAAACCTTACTCTAACCCTATGTATAATTCTATAAAATACCCTAAACAAAAATATTAAAATATTCTTCAGTCTTCAATAAGCTGTGAATGCAGATAACTTCCCTACCCAGAGCTATTACTCATTAACTAAGGATTAGTTAAAGATTTAGAGCATAAGACTTAGCGATGTAGGTTGTAATGTCAGAAACAGGCTATTCTCCCTAGTAACATTTGAACAGATGGAAATTATGTGACATAGCCTACCAAGATGTATTTTGCAAACTACCACTAAACATTCCCCGGCAGAATAGGCATGGAATGTTTTTTCTTTTATTGTAAATTAGGAAGTCTGTTATATTTTCACATTCATGGAAAAGATGGTGATTAACTTCATTTAAAAAAGATTATGGTGAATCATTTGAAGTATAAAACATAAAATTAGTAAGATATTTGATCTAATTTAAAATGATATGAAACCCTTTGTTACAGTTCATAATAAAAATGAAAAACAACAGTGGCTTGAAATGTACAAGTGGATACAGGCCTCTGTACTATCAATCTCCTTGCCCACTAAAGCAGAACATCTGAAATATAATGTAACCCGTCCTTGGTGACTCAGGGTATTAGTGTGAACCTAAATTATTTTATAAAGCTGAGGGTGAAGATGAAAATGCAAATTATACTGAATGGGTAATTAGCTAATAGCTGCAAAAGTCCCCAGTAATTCTTTTTTGACAAAGTTCCAGATCCCGACTTGCTTCTGGTCCTCTTCCATCGTTTCATATTGGTAGCCTGAATGTATACCACCAACATACCTCTTGTTTCCAAATTACTAACATAAGAGGCCACGTGCTTGCATATAATCAATCTCCTCTGACAGCAAGACTCAGAAAACTTATGGACTTTATTCATTTGTCCTTAGCTTGCTCCTTCTTTCTCTTGTCAGAGAGACTTTTACTATCTGCCCAAATCATCATTTCTAACCTCTGCTAAAAATGTGTTTTTTTGGTTATATACTACTTCCTTCTAAATTTTTTTCTTACAGGGAAAGAAAAAGGATTCAGATTCTGTGAACTCAGAGTGCTGACTGAAACTGTGTGATCCTGGACAAGTAGTCTGACTTATCTGAGACTGTTTCCATACTTACAAAGTAAAGATAATACCACCCCATAGAAATTACTGTGAAGCAATATGCATGATGATAATCACTTTATAAACTAAAGCCCTTTGCTTCCTGGCATTAACTGACAAGGAATATATTGCATTTGGCCATTTATTGATTTACTTGCCATTTAACAGATTTTGGGAGCTCTCACAGCTGATACTCAGAATCTGCTCCTTTGCTGCTAAAACCCTTTGTTTAAATTTTTTTTTTTCTTTTAGTACTTTTAGATTTGGATTCTCTATAAATCCCTGCTGGAAGCTGAGGTTTTGCTTACAATTTCATCCACTTCCAATTTATTAATAACAATACAACTTTTCTTAAATATATTAACATTCTGATTAATATGCAATAGAACAAAGACTAAAAGTCACTCTCTTATATCTTCAGTTAAATGCTAAAAATAAGGAATAAATATGCACTGTATGCGCTTGACAAAATGATAAGTAAATCATTAACACAACTTCTAGACTACAGTACCAGTGTTAAACAAACATGCATTTATTCTGAGCAAATTACAATCTATGTTAGTTTTGAATTTTAAAAAATCATACAATATGGTTTAGAATATTAATTTAAATATGGTTTATCAAATTTTCCTATAGAAACCTAATAGTTACTCAAAATTAGTATTTAATTTTACCTATGACATTAATATTTCTAGGGGAATATTTAGAGAAATGTTTTTTCTAACATATGCATAAAATAAAATTTCTAGTATACCACATATTGGGCAAAAATAAAATTAAACTTTTCATTTTTGTGTACTAGTTTTTCTAGTAACTCTGGCTAATTAAGAAATAATAGTGATTAGAAATCCATAAGGATAAGAGTTTAATTAGATAAATGGTTCTCAAATATTCTTTGTTATAATTTATCCTCCAGTTCCTTTTAAAAAAGTTTTTCAGTTCTATACTAAAGACTTAGGACATAAAATATCTTTTCAGTGTTATTTTACACATGAAATTAAAAAATTCTAAAAACAGAATTATTATTAGCTTAAGAGCACACTATTGGAATAATGTCATTCTAAGTGTGCCTTCTTTCAAAAAAATGAAAATTCAGACAATTAAGACAACATGACTACACACAGAAGATGACAGTAAACACAGGGCAACTGAGTAGTAATGGGACAGTCAAGGGAAAAAACCATGGCTTTCAGTCAGTGGTGGCACAGATGTAAAATGGCTGACCTCAGACCATGTTATTTTGTTTAGAGTCACTTGCTGCCTCTATAAATGTCACTAATAGAGATCTTTTTCATGTAACATGATTCTAAAGGTTAACTTTCAACAATTAGACTTTTACCATAAAATAAAAAACAAACAGAAAGCCAAATAGCAACTCTCCTCTGAAAACAAAAAAACACAAGTTAACAAGCCAAGGTTTCAGAACTTCTTTTCATGAAACATATACTGTGGATTTTATTCTTAACTGCGTAGTTAATCTCTACTTGATTTTCAAAACCTGAAGAAAAAAGGAGACAGAATTCTCCAGGTAGCAACCCTTGAAATTATAAACTGCAACCCTGTACTACTTCTTAGCAATACAGCAGTCTTGAAATCAGTTAAAAATTATAAAATGCTTTTCAACAAAAGTGAACAGTAGAAAAGGATTATAAGGTACACTATGTCTTATTTTCCTTCTTCTATGTTTCAAAGAAAATATTATGCTGAATTTTCCTAGACAGACATCTCTCAAGTATAGGGCTATTTCTCATCTAGTGATTTAATGAACACTGAAATGCACTCAAATCTATCCTTCAATTCTCATCTATCCCAAAAGAACAAAAAAGAAACCCTGGGTTTTAAACAGTTGCTTTTATAAAAGCATCAAGAGTCTATGACTGTCTTTTACCTTATGTTTCCTATCGAGCCACAGTGTTTGTTCACTGCTGAATTAGCTGTTGATATCATCGTTATTACTGAATGGTAAAGGTAAGTTAAATATTTGATGGTTTGAAGAAGAATATGTTGATAAAGAACTTTTATGACAAAACTATAAATTGTTTGTATGTTTTTCTAAGAATAAGTAATCACATCTTAAATGAATTTAAGATGTAATTTCTTATTCTTTTGAATAGGGTAAATTGTTCAAATTAAAGCAATTTTTACATTTCTTTGTTTTTACGTGCCACTTTAAAAGGAATAAAAATCACATTCAACTCAGAAGTTTCTTTTCGTTACATAAGATCTGTTTCATACACATAAGTTATGAGTGTATATACTACTCTCTATTAAGGATCATGATGCTCATATCCCTAGAAAGTTTTATAAACACAACTCAGAGTGATTATAATTTCAAATCAAGGTCCTTAGAAAAGTTTAAGTACAGACATTTTATAATTTCTATAAATATTTAGGGACAGTCACTAACAATGTGTGGTTTTCTAAAAATCACATTTCTAGATAGCATTGTTTGATGTTAAAATCAACAATAGTCTGATTCTTTTTCCAGGAAAGTTATATTGCATCATGAGCCTGGTAGTAAATGTGGAGCTGAATCATCACTAATTCCAGAGCCAACAAATGAATTAATGCTCAGAAGAAAAATTATGGATAGATACAATGTACGAGGCAAGAAAGAATAAGGGGCAAGAAATACAACTAATTGTAATATGAAGAATATAATAAAGCATTAAAATTTGGAAAGAGTCATATTTATGGAATCTGTCAAGATCAGGGTAATTGTGAATTTAACTATATTCGTTTAGCTACTGGTACCTCTACCTAAGGAAAAAAAAGTAGCAACAACATTCAAAATCATTGATAATGCAATAAATATACTCAGAAATTCTGTATTTACAAATATTATCAATTGTCATGTCGAAATTCTCAACACCATTACAAAACAAGCAACAGTAAGGCAACATTCACTGATAGTAAAGTCAGCATGTGCTAAGTATCTTGCTAATTGTCTCATTTTTTATTTTTACCTCATGTAATTTCCACTACAACTCCATGACAGAGGTGCAGTTACTACTCTCAGTTTACAGATGGGGAGTTTAGGTAATCTGCTCAAGGTCACACAGGTGCTAAGTGGCTGGACTGAGAGCGAAGCCTAGGCTCAACTCTTAACCTCCATGGTCTTCAGACTCAAAATGTAACTGAGTCATTTACTTATAAAAATTTTGACCTTTTAAAGATCAAGTTTTGTTGAATGAAAAATAAGCCTTTTATTGTTCTATAAAACAGAAAAAGAACAGGTATTCTAAGCAGTTGGGAGAAGTTCAGAGCTCACAGTGTTCCTTATTTAAGGAACTGTACCATATTTAGGAGTCATTCAGCTACAAAGTATCACAGTGAAAATATTTCACAACTATTTCTCATTTGACTTAATTTCCATACCTTCCAGATGTATTCTTCAGTATGGCAAGAGCATCTGGATAACCATCCATGTTGTAGTCTCCAATATGAAGGGTAATTGGAATTGGTATTTCAGTTGGTCGTTGTTCATGCACAAATGGCACAAAACCCCAGAGTGTGCCCTTATTGCTAAAATCCTGTAGGACAGGAACCCACTGTGGATTAAGAGAAAAAAAATCAGATTTTATAGTCATTTTAGAAAAAAATTCACCATTTGTAAAACAAATGATCCACGAAAAGTCCTCAAGGTAAGCATCACCTTATTTAAGTTCTTTATCACTACAAAATGGTAGGGCACTATAATTTACTTTGATAAACAGGTAACTTACACTTTGGAAAAATATCATCTCCTTTAAAATTTATCACTAGTCATCTTTCTTTGAACTAGCTCACAGAGCCTTAGAAGGTTTTTCACAGAACCACAAAATCTTAGGATTGAACTGATGCTGATAATCATATACTTGAATTGCCATTTTAAAATGTGTTGAGTGGAAATACAACCTCAAATGAATATTTAAAAAATTACAATATCATGTAATACTGATGTCCTTTCGGAGGACCATCTCAGGAAGAATTAGAACATGACAGTCTCCCTTGTTCTCTTGCTTTGCCTCCTATACATGATGATGACTTTAGTCATCATTCTCAGAGCCAAGCAGCTCTGAGGCTTACCAAACAATACTAGCCCTAACAAGCTCTGCCTGCCCCAGAGAATGAGCTCTGTCACCAAAACAGCTGGAAGCTACATTTTAAATAAATTCTTTATCTCTATATTGATTATAACAAGAACACAGAGAATAGGATCATTTCAAAATGAGCTTTTGGAAATCCCTTTTTCTTGTGAATGCCCCAATCTTTACTTTTAATAACCTAATGCAAACTAAAAATCTGAAGAGTGGAAATCATCACATTAAAATTATAGATGTGCCCATAATTAGCTAAGAGCATGGATACTGGCACATAACCTGGAGATGTCCAAACAGAAGCAGGTGCAGCTGGCTTGAAATGACAGGAGGCCAAACATGCCTACAGATGTTTTTGTCCTTATAAGCAGGTGACTCATATATATAGCTCTAAGCTAGACTACATAAAAAGTGGCCTCTTGAAAAAGGTTTAGAACATAGGATATCCCAAACATTTTCTATGTTATCCAAAGAAAGCATAGTTTGCCAAGGAAAAAGCAAAAAAAGTGGCTTAACTACAAAGACAAATTTACAGAAAACGAGCCATTTTAAAAAACTGGTCTGCATCTTTAATAAATTTTTCAATCTTTCTTAAAGCAAAAGAGTATTATATAGCATCAAAATGTTTTAATGTTTCATGTGACTCTGAAAAAAACTGCTGGTCTTGTTTTGGAAGAGGATGAGAAATTTCACAAAATGCCAAGTTTTCACAAGTTTCTGAAGAGGTTGATAGTTTATTAATGAGGATAAAGTATTTCTGTTAAGGTAAATGTATTAAGGTCTAAGAAGTAAAATATTTTTCATTAATGTGACGTTCTTAACAGTCAAAAAAGAACTGTGACATTTATCTGCCCAGAGAGAACTGTGTAATTTGAAAATATTCTTACAGTAGTCTGTCACTTGAAGACAGGCTAATAATTACTAGGTTTACTTACAGCTATGAACCAATGATGAAGTGTGACTTGACCTAATATTTTCAATGATTCAAAACTTTAAAAAAGTTCAAGGTAATAAAGGTTATGGGTGTTAAGAGTTAAATGCTTTTAGAATGCTGACTGGAGGAAGATTTGTTTTCTTTAGTGTCTTAGTATAAAAAGTGATACTTCCTACCCATAAGGGCTAAAAAAATCAAAATGTAATTCTATCATTTATTACCCCCAAACAGAAAATATAACTCATTAATTCTACTACTATATTACTGGTTTCCATTCAGGTGCTGTCAATATGGAAAAAATCTCAATGTCATAACCTATCATTCCCACATTAATCCTCTGCTGTGATTAACAGATTCTAAATTATTTATCTACAAGCTACAGGTATAAAGTCGGCACGAGAGAATGAAACAGATTTAGATATCACAAATAAAAACAAGATTAGCCTTGAAAATAGGTATGATGTTCTTCTACATAACCCTTTATTATAGCTATAGTGTGCCTTACCATATTCCCAGCATATAAAAGGCTAACAGATCATTTAATTACAGGATCAAGAGTGGGTTTTCTTAACCAGAAATGATTATGCCACTACTTTTTTCTCTCAATAAACCAATAAAAATAGATTTAAATGCATTTCATTAAGTTAAAATAAGGAAGTAAATTTATTTTTGGTTTTTCTCTTTTCTGATTCTTCAGATACTTCTTCTAACCTCTGAAATTTTTTTCCAAGAACATAACTCTATTTACATTAAGAAACAAGTAGATATACCTGCTTTGTTCTGGATCTTGCTAAGTAAATGGTACTTTTCTGGCAGTTTTTATCTTCACAGCCTGGCAATAAGTGGTCCATGTTTCCATCTCCATCTGCCAAAAGAAACAGACACAAAATAGTGTTCTTGTATGACAGATTAAATTTCCTATTTGTTTAAACTCTGCATCAATCTAGATAAACTGAGGAATCTGATGCATGGCTTTGGAGTGAATGTGATTCAATTAAAAAAATTATTCTGGCCCTTACTGTCTATTACCTGGACCATGTCTTGTTTTAAATTGCTCACTCTTCTGTGGTTAAATATTTATCCAATGGTGGAAAAACTCCTCATTTCAGGCTTTGATGTTAAAATTATCAATTAAAAAAATGTAGCTTTTGACCTATTTACATAATTATCATCACTGCCACAGGAGAAAAATAAGCATGCAATAGTAACCCATTATTATGTGGCTTATTTTAAATGTCTTTACAGATAATTTATCTTTACACATACTTTTAAGTCTCTTTTATACAGCATAAACGTCAATTCAAGAGTTATAAAGCTTTCAGCAACTTAGATTCTAAAAAGCACCAATACATTTTTATCAATAAAGAGGCAAATGAAGGGAATACAGACGTCATTTCCAACTGACTGGTTTTTAAATAGCTGCACAATGTTCTGCAAAGACTTCTAGAGATGAGGTTACTGATGAACTTGGAGTCATTTCCTCTAGTGCTCCTTCCTATCGACTGTTCCCTACCTGATGAAGTTTACAGATTTTGATGTCCCAGAGCTAAATCTCTATGGGGACATTCACAAAATGGAGTAGTCATGAAGCTTTTAAATTTAGGGCCTAATTTTGTGTTGCTTTAATCACTGATTTATTTGCAATGGCTTAATGTTATCATTTAATATGTGCCTGAGGTAGTACCTTCACTTGGAAGGATATATAAGGTTTACCAATAAAAAAAGTCCATCCTTGCATAGGTTTAAATATTAAGAGAGATATATAACTGTAACAAGCCTATCAAGTCTCCAATAATGTATGCACAAAGAAAAAAAAAAATTTCAGGCTGTGTGGGATGAAAATCTAGCCAATGGAAGGTGACCTCAGCATGGAAAAGTAAAAGGCACAGCACAGTGAAAAATGAATTTCTTTCATTTAATTTCATAGTTTAATTACTTATGATCCTCATGGTTAATATTCTTTGTGATGACGAACGCTTAGAGGAGTATAACATTAAATAAAATAGTTGAATTAATAATGGAGAGTACAGAGAATACATGTAATATGACAGTATACACATTTGGACTACTGTGAAAAGTTGAGAGAGAGAGAAACAGCAACTCTAGGCAGGAATACTTGGAAAGGAGAAGGCTTTCCAAGGGCATAAACATATATCATAGCTTAAAAAAAAAAAAAAGGAGCTAGCCAAGAGAGAATTAAATGCAAAATGTGATATATAAACAGACTCTAGTAATATCATAGACTTCATTAAAAGCCAAACCATTTTACTGCAATTAATGTGGGACTAATCAGAAGAGCAACTACTAAGTCTCTGCCCTTCATTTTTACCCCAATGGCAAAATACTCAGATTAGATTTTGATGTACACTTTTCTTTTCTCCTAGTTTATTTTTCTTCCGAGTAGTTTCCTATTTCCCACAATTATTTTGACCATGACTTGGCTGATACTTAATGCTGGCAAATAACCTTCTGTTAAACATATAACTAACTCACGTCACAACATCATAATCATGCCTTTTAGTAGGAATTATCAGTAATATTTTATAGATATGGTCACAGAAATCTAGAACTCTATCAGAGAATGTGCTCATTGTGCTGACTCTAAGTGCTATTTTTTTGATGTTTAGGGTAAGTGGCAGAAAAGCTTTCTGAGAGCCCCACTTCACACGCAAAGGAAATTTTCTCTCTTAAAGGCAACAAACTTTTAAATCTTACATGTTACACTTAAAATTGCAATAATAAACATAGTAAAAGAATTCCTGTAAACACTTTAACCAGATTGACCTATTAACATTTTACCCCATTTATTTGATCTGTGAAATCAGTTTTTTTCTGAACCATAATTATATACGTTATAGCCCTTTACCCCTAAATACTTGAGTGTGTATTTCCTAGGAATAGAGATATTCTCTTAACCACAGTACAACTATCAATTCACACAGATACTTTTATCTATTGTACTATATTCTAATTTTGTCCATTGACGTAATAATGTCATTTGTAGCATTTTTGCCCCTATAACACAGGATCCAGTCTAGGAGTAGGAATTACATGTAGTCGTTATTTTTAGCCTTCTTTAATCTAGAATATTTTCTTTTTTTAAAAAAAATTTTATAGGTTTTTTCTTTTAAATAAATTTATTTATTTATTTATTTTTCTTTATTTTTGGCTGCATTGGTCTTCGTTGCTGTGCGCGGGCTTTCTCTAGTTGCAGTGATTGGGGCTACTCTTAGTAGCGGTGTGCAGGCTTCTCATTGCGGTGGCTTCTCTTGTTGTGGAGCACGGGCTCTAGGCGCATGGGCTTCAGTAGTTGTGGCACGCAGGCTCAGTCGTTGTGGCTCGCAGCCTCAGTAGTTGTGGCTCATGGGCTCTAGAGAGCAGGATGAGCAGTTGTGGCGCACAGGCTTAGTTGCTCTGTGGCATGTGGGATCTTCCCGGACCAGGGCTCGAACCGGTGGTCCCCTGCATTGGCAGGTGGAATCTTAACCACTGTGCCACCAGGGAAGTCCCTAGAATATTTTCATAGCCTTTTACAATCTGCGTATCTTTTTTTTTTTTTTTAACCTCGGACTACAGGAATCTTTTACTTTTCCAATAAGTTATTATACCTACAGAAGGAAGTAGTTTCAGAAAAATCAGTTTCACATGAGGCAGAGGCACAAGGCTAGGAACTAGTAATAAGCAAATTCTCTGAAAAACAATGAGACTAAGAGGAATGTCATGCTGACAGAGGTACCAGTCTGTGAACTTGGCACACATTCCTTAAAGAAGTCCCAGGAATTATTAACTACGGACTGCCTTCTCCTCAGAACTTCAGCCCATTATATATCTAGAGTTTTCTTAAAGGCTAAAATTCCTTCTCAAAGCCTCAACAGAAACTGTGACAGAAGGAATGGCATTTTGATTAACTCATTTCATAAAATGCAGTATAAAATTTGGCCTTTTGAATGGCAGACCAGTAGAGACTAAAGTACACACTAAACACATGTTAATTTCCATCTGATGTTAACCTTAGCCAAATTTCAAAAGAAATTCTCTTCTAAAACAGATAATTTTAATGAGATAGATTTAATGAGTCAAACTGATTTTCTGAAAAATTTTAATTTTAAAATCAAGAGAACACTAAAGTAAAGTCTTCATAAAAATGGATTATAATGAATTTTGGTATAATAATTTTTGTTTTTAATTAAGCAGAGGACAAAGAAGAAGATATACAAGAGAAAGGGTCACATTTATATTATGTTTCCTCTTAAACATTCATAACATTTTCAGTCTCATGAAATTAAATGACCTGTGGTATGGCTTAAGCAAATTACAGCTCATTGTTCTGGCCCCAGATTACCCATCAACTCTGTAAACCACAACTTCTCTAATGCAGTGATTCTCAAAGTGTGGTTCCCAGTCCCACAGCCTCAGCATCACTGGGGAACTTGTTAGAAATGTCGATTCTTATGCCTCTGTCCAGATCTAATGAATCAGAACCTCTAAGGGTAGGGCACAGCAATGCATATTTTCATAATCCCTCTGGTTGAAACGCTGGTCTTCCACTGACACCAGGGGGTGCTACACGTACCCTATTTCTGTCTTAATCATGCACCTCCATTAACGACAAACTTCTTTTGCTAATCAAATTCTACTATTCATTTAGGACTCAGTATGTATCTTGCTCCAGCCTCTTGAGACTGAATCCAAGTCACCTTTTGCAAATTTTTGTACCTCTTGGGCAGGTCAACTCATTATGGCAGCGAAACAAGTACTACTACATAAAATAATTGTTTTTGGTGAACGTCTTGCCACTCCATGAGAGTGTATGGAGATTTTAATGTAATGGTAAGAAGGTAGGACTAAGATCAGTTAGATTTAGATTTTTAACCTGGCTTAACTCCTAATAAGTAATTAGACATGTACTTTTGGGGAAAAAAATACTGAAAAATATTTTTAAAATATTAGGATTTGGGGAACAGGTACTTCTGTATTTTTTAGGACTGCTCAAGAAGTATTCAGGTTTTCAGAAATGTCTTTTTCCTACTCTTGTCCCCAGCTCCCCTCCACAGTGGCAACCACCATAGCAGTTTTTCTTGTGTATCCTTCACCACACAGGCTATGCATACACATATACTATATACAATTCTGTACAATTGTAGTGTACACTACACTTTTTGGTACCTTCAACTTTTGATTTAATATATCTTTGAGAGCATTCCACAGTGATAAATTTATATCTGCCTCATATATAGTATACATTTACATTTTATGGGTATATCTCAATATAGCCAATTCTCTACTGATGTACAAACACTGAGTTGTTTCCAATCTTCTGGTAATCAAAAAAATCCAACAATGAATAACTTTGCACATATAATATCTCATAGTTGAGAGATTATAGTATAAATTCCTAAAATGGAAATTACTGATTCAATGATTGTATGTAATTAAAATTTTTATTTTAATCTCCATAGAGGAGCAGTTTTCAAACTAGTCTCAAGAATCCTTTATACTCTTAAAGACTGAGGACCCCAATAAGCTTTGTTTATGTGGGTAATATCTGTGGGTATTTCTATGGGTATTAACTTGAAATTAAGACTAAGAAATATTTATATATTTAAGTGAAAATACAAACCATAAATATATCACATATAAACATAACTAATATTTTCATGAAAAATAACTGTTTTCCAAAACAAAGACATTTTGTGAGAAGAATGGGATTATCTGGCCTAGCAGAGAAAACCTGGATTTTCATACTGCTTTTGTATTCAATCTGTTGTTTTGGTTGACAAATATGAAAATATGTAGTTGGAGGAAGTATTTTAACAGCCTTTTCAGATAACTCTAATATTCTTCAATGCTATGATCAAAACTCAA